AAAAAACAAAACAAAAAACAAAAAAAAAAAACATCAAGTCTTGCTGGGTATGGTGGCACACACCTTTAATCCCAGCACTGAGGAGGCAAAAGGTGGATCTATGAGTTTGAAGCCAGCCTGGTCCACATAGAGAGTTCCAGGCCAGCCAGGGCAACACAGCAGGACCCTGCCTCAAAGAAAAAAAAAAAAAATCTCTGAGTATACAGGACAACTGGAGACCTATCAATCACTAGCAAGATAAGAGCCTCTTCTACAAAGTGCCAGTTGCTGTCAGAGCATCAGACAATGCTTCTTCAAAGAAAAATAATCTACTGTTCCATAGGGTGCCCACAGGGAGGTGGCACTTTCTCCAAGTAAGAACAGGGAAAGAGATCTCAGAGCTTCTCCCACACAAGATTACAAGGTGGGTAGTGTTCCGTTTGTGATCTTTATTGCTAAATCAACTTGGAAATGCAGGCTATGATCATGTGAGAAGGGAATTCCACACTTAGGGAAGCAGCTGCTTGGCCTCAGAGCCAGCGCCGTGCTCCAGTGCGCGTGCTGAACAGGTAATCTCTCCCTGTGCCTGAGCCCGGGCGAGCAGGAGAGAGAAGGGGAGAAGGCCTGCTGGCTTCAGCCCTTAACCGCCCCTTCCCCAGGTTCATCACCTCCTCCCCTTCTCAGCAAAGACCCCTGAGGTTCAGCGCGAGTGAACAGAGAGCCGGTGGATACCAGTCCCCTCCGGCAGCCAATGTCAGATCACTCTGCTACAACTTTACTGGTGAACCTGGACTATGGAGGGAGCTCTCCCCTTAACACGGTCCCCCTCCTGCTGGGAGCGGGGACAAGACTGGGTCTGAGTCATCTGGCCCTATTGGCAGAAGTTGGCTGAAGGGTGAGGGGGTGACAAAGGGTGGGTGGGGGGTCAGAGAGAAGAGCTCGGTCAGTGAAAATGTAGGTGCTGGATGCTTAGTGGTAACAGTAAAAATGGAGAGGAGTAAAGGGAAGAGAGAATTCTGGGGAAGGGTGAGGGCCCAGGCAGAGAACAGTTATAAAAAGTGGAGACTTACGGACATCGTGGGCTCTGCCATCAAAATGCTGCTGAAAAGAATAAAGGGCACAGTGAGTTGAACCTTGCCCGCAGGGGGCAGATGGAAGGGCTGGGTGCCCACCTGCCTCCACTATCTTGGTGGTGGTGTGGGCACTCTCGGAGGGGTACCCCTCACGGGGAGGGAGGCAGGCTTTGCAGGGATGGGCAGTACCCTCGAGCAGCCTCAGTGCCCACAACTTGGGATATGGCATACCAGACTCATGGAAGTTCGGGGTACCTGGGACATCTCCATTCTTGGTGCCTCCATGAGTCTCTCAACGGATCCTTCATTTCCCGGGACGCTACAGCAATTGGAGTAGAAGCACGTACAAGACGTACAAGAGTCTGGGCCCCAGCCCGAGTTCAGTGGCCGGGTTCCCCAAGGCACAGAGGGAAGCAAAGGAGACTGACCTGTTTAGCAGCAGAGCTCTGGCTGGTTTGCTGGGTGCCTGTAGTAGCTGGGCAAACCTAAAAGGCCAGAAGGAGGAAGCAAACGGTCAAAGTAGCAGGCCTGCTGACACTAAAGAGTGTCATTGTCTGTCCCTTTATATTAGAAACAGCCTATGTGAGATGCCCACGCCGTTATCTGTCCTACCCCTAGACTCGGAGGATTCGATTTACAGAAGCAGGGCAGATACCCGGTAGAAAACAGAGGTTGGGAACAGGGAAATTTCAAACTGGGAGCCCTCTGTGTCCGTCCAGTTTTGAGACTGGACTCCGCCCATGATGGCGACCCCTTCCAAGGTGTCTCAGTCTGAACAGTCTGGAGAGACAGCAGCAGCAGCCCTCCTCAACCTGTCTGCCCACCAATGTTGGCAGTGTCATCGAATGCTGAGGAAGACTACCTCTTCCAGCCGGTGTCTGTGTATGGGCTGGGAAGCGGGAAGCACAGAGGTGGAAACGTACCCCCGGAGGATCCTGCTGAGGAGCCAGCCCAGAGCCAGGAGGAGAACTGCGCCAGTCGCTGTCAGCACTACCACAAACCAAGGCTCTGGCTTCCAGAAAGCCTCTACCTCTGTCACAATCAGGGGTGTCATTGTTGAGGACACCTGAAAGGAGGGTCACTACCATTGACAGTCCAGCCTTCAAATTCCCTATGAACTGAAGCACCTCACACCCCAAGCTGATCTTTTTGCACCCAGCAGTTTTATCTAAAATGTCTTCTCTCATAATTCCATCTAAAAAACTAGGTGTCGTCACCCTTCAAGAGCCTCTCTCCCAACCCCAAGGGCCTGAGGACCCCCTCACTGTGCTTCTGTGGGTGCTGGTGGCCACCGTGCCGGCCCTCCAAGGAACTAGATGCACAATGATGGTGGTTGTGGTGCTGAGGTGGGGGATGGAAGGGCCCGCATCAGCAACATGGATCAATAGCTCATAGGTGCAGGGCTGCTCTGGCCATGGAGGCCCCAACACAGTGTCATTGTGCATCAGGACGGTCCCTTGCAGTCTAAACCGGCTCTGGCTATTCCCTGAAAGCAGAGTAGTTAAGAGAAGAAGGTATTGCTACCTTAGCCGCACCCTCACCAACAGCCTGGTGGCCCCCACATAGTCACACCTCCCACGATGCTGTAGGTGAATGCCGAGCGCTGTGGCTCCCGAGGGATCCAGCATGACACCTTGGTCACCTCCATGCTACGACCCAAGGGAGTATAGGTGGTGAGTTCCTGAAATGGAGGCTCACACTCGGGGGCATGGTCATTCACATCCTGGAGAAAGGCCACCGTGTGAGGAGTGGCTACAGTCCATCCTCACACTCCCAGGCTAGCCCTTCGTCTTCCTTTGAAAACACTGGACCTAGGTGGCATCACCCCAACAGGCGGTGATGTTTTCCACAGTGAGCCCCTCCCCTCGACCAGCCCATATAAGAAACACACATCTGCAGAGAAAAGCAAAAGGCCAGAGGGAAGTTTGTCTTTCCCAGGCCCCGGAGGTCAATTACCTCAACCTCAATGGTTACAGTACATGAACCTGAGCGGTGGCGGTTGAGGTCCCAGTCTTGGCTGTGATCGATCAGGAGAATAGTGATCTTGTACCACCTTTGCTGCTCATAGTCCAAAGGCCCCAGGAGGTGAATCTCTCCTAGAAGGGATGGTCACAGCCTTAGCCTGCAGAGTCTACTCTGGCCCCATCCCTCCCTCCCAGCCCTGGGGGTTAAGTACCACTGAGACGATCCACAGCAAAGGTGGAGGGTCCACCAGAGATGTAGTACTCAAGGCTGTTATGAGGGTAATCCGCATCCGTGCCCACCACGGAGCCCAGCAGAGTGTGGGGCCCTGCATCCTCCCGAACCCGGAACGTGCGTGGGACACAGGCTGGGGAGAACTCATTGACGGGTGTTACCATCACCAGAACTGGAACCTCAGCTGGGGACCATTTTGGCAGTTAAGGAGCTGTCCTGAGGTACCCAGACCTGCCCTAGGATTCTTTTGCTGTTTTGTTTTTTCAAGACAGGGTTTCTCTGTGCAGCTTTGGTGGCTGTCCTGGAACTCACTTTGTAGACCTGGCTGGCCTCAAACTCAGAGATCCTCCTGCCTCTGTCTCCTGAGTGCTGAGACTAAAGGTATGTGCCACCACCACCCAGCCTGCCCTAGGGTTCTTAATAAGTAAACATGGCCCTATATTGGAGAGAGGGTTTTCTGGGGAATGGTAGGGGGAATCTTAAGAGAGGCATCCTAGTGATCTTAAACTGAGACAACCCTGACCTAGTTTTTGAGGGAAGAAAGCTGTCTATTTCAGGGGGATGGAAAGGAGTGGACAAAATAGGCCTGTCCTGAATGTTCAGGCCTAAGTATGGTCACTCACTGGTCATCTGGGGCTGTCCATCATCCAAGACCAAGATGGACGCTGCATGCTGGAAGCAAGCCCCAGGAGTGTCACAATCCAATGTAGTATTCACCTGGCCAAGGGGACAGAGAGTAAGATGAAGCCAGGATCTGGAAGAACTTGAGGCCTGCCACAGTGCCTCAAACCAGGGTATCCACGTATATCCTACCTTGACCCAGTTTTCCAGACTCCCATCCCACCTCCGTGGTCTCAGTGCCAATAAACCGCGGCCCACCCACCTCGTCTGCATGGGAGTTTAGGAGCGGGTGTTGGGCACCTCAAGGACTCGGTCACGAAGACGGAGGCTGGCGGAGTCGGGAGGGTTGTAGAACTGAAGCTGGAAGTCGAGGGGAGCGCCAGCAGAGTCTGGATCAACGCAAGTGAGCTTGCTCAGCACCGTGCCCACAGGGGTAGTCTCTGGGACCTGAGTCCTGGGAGTGGAGGGCAGGAGGCAAGACAGGAAGGAGTCTGGACCAATGGTGAGCCAGGGCATCTCACCCAACAAGCCGGGGCATGGCTTCAGGGTACTCACACCAGTAGCGCGGGATGGCAGCGTGGAGGCCACTGGTTGACTGCTCGCACGTTAACCGTGAGATCGAACTCGGCACTGGCCCAGGGCCGGAGCCTCTCAAAGGCCCTCACCTGCAGCTTCGTGACCGCTGCACCCTGAGCGCGAGCCAAATCCAGGGGCGCGGTGGTCCTCACTACCCCGTCAGCTGGAGGGTGTAAGAAACAAAGCTCCGCCCCGCCCCAGCTCAGTCCGGCTCTCCACCAACTGCCCCAAGGCGGGCAGATAGATGGTCCTGACCACTTCCACCTCCTCCTCTAAGGGCGAGGCTCTCAACCCAATCTTTCTGGTAGGAGTTACCTCTGTGCCCCGACCCTTTCCCCACTACAGACATCCCAGGACCCACCCTCCTCCTCCCCTCACCTTGTCCAATGGAGTAGAGTGGGCTGGGCAATGGGGAGATGATTTCATAGAGTAAGTTGGATCCTCGAGCCTGGACCTGAATCACCTTGCTCCCAGGGACCAGATCCTCTGGGATGGTGATACTCTGGGCCTTCTGCCTGAACAACAACAACAACAAAAAGCAAACCTTTTTCCTGCTTATTACAGCAGGGTCCCCAGGCCCCTCCTAGGGCTCCCCTCCTATGGGAACTAGAATGCTCCAGCAGCCCTGCAGCCTACCCCAACTGTTTCCCAGGGGATAGATGCAGAATCCTCCCGTGTGTGTCCCAGGGTAGGGGAGCCTTACGGGAAGGAGACTTGGCTGGAGGGCGCAGGCAAAACCTTCACTGTCAGCATCCCTTTGCAGCTTTGGCCTTTTCCTAAAGACACTAAAATCTGCAGCTGGAAGCTCTGTCAGTGCATATATGACAGGAAAGAAGCCATGTTATGTGTCCACTGCTGTGTCCATGCCTAGTCCTCTCTTCAAACAGGCAGTCCTCAAGACCGCCACAAGGAAACCTGTGACTTACCACGCTGCTGACAAGTTATCCCTTTGAACCCTATAACTCTGGGCCACCAATTCTTCTGAGTCAAAGTGTGAATTAGGTTAGAGTTGCCGAGAGCCAGTTACTAAGAGGTGGAAGTGTGTTTGTTTTTGTGGTGCTGGGGATGGGACCCAGGGAATTGCAGAAAAGACCATTTTAAAGAGGGGACTTCCTTCTTGCTAGCCACTTGACCCAAAGTTTTCTCTTCAAGTTTGATTGCCACACCACACTCTACATTGGAGGACCTGTGAGGCCCCAGAACACAGGCCTGCCCTCTTTCTGGACCTCCAGACCTCAGTCTGGAAGAAAGCCAGACTGAGAGGGCAGTCAGCAGGGGGCAGCAAGTGGGCTGAGACAAGCATTTTAGTCAAAGCAGGCAAGGCCAACTGTTCAGGAGGTGGCGGTCCTGCCCAATCCATAGCTAGCCCCAGGTCCGAAGCCGTGCTTACCTTGAGA